TAGTTTACCATGTCAGCCTGTTCTATCTAAAGATTCTCAAAGAAGGTCTGTGCATTGTCCAGCTCTGTGAAACCTTGCAATTAATGTTGTTTGATAACGTTTGATAAAATATTTTGATAACGTGTTAATTTGCAATCAGTTTCTCACCATTGTCTCTCTCTGACTGCCAGATAGTTTGCTGGCAATGCAGGATGATGCAAGTGAATAAAGTACCTGGCATGAGACTCCCTGAAGTCCCAAAGGGTCTCCTTTTAGTGAAACAGTGAATATTCCTTTTTGTGTGTAAAATACTGTTAATGGCTTATTTAGCAACATGTATTTCAACAGCCTGGCTTTTAGTTTTATGTTGGGGGAGGATTCTTGCATATGCAGACATTCTAGCACCCGCGGCTAATTCTGTCTACCTCTTTCTTTTCACTCTCATCTAAGTTATTTCCATGGAAGGATAATATATTATGTGATCTCTCAGGTTTTTAATGTATCTCTTGATTCACCTCTTATAGCTACTTCTTGAATGGGCTGTAGAAAAACTTAGGGCTGAATCCTTCCCTTACTGGCTGGAGCCACTCTGGGAGTGGTGGGAGTTTGGGGGATGGTTGAGCAGTGCCATTGTGTTCCTGTGAACTGAACTATTAAGTTCACAAACCAAATCATAGAAGGTCTGTCCATGACTTGCATAGCACAGCATTGCATTTATTGACAGGACAAAGGTCTGAAGAACACAATTTTTTTCCTTTTCATTCTTTATTATTATTATTATTATTATTACTATTGCTCTTTCTTGAGTTCAATCTGGCCTTTCCTGATAATTATACATCCTGCTTCTACAACTGATGATTAGATTAGCTAATCAAACAGGGAAAAAGCAATGAAATATGATCAAAATAAAGGGCGGAAGGAGTTGAGCTATTTTCAGTACAGATGATTTGGTTCTTGAGGTTTTAATGGAATTAAATGGAGGATTGAATTAGACAATGATTGAATTAAGTGGAAGTCACTGTATACCGGTGTTTAACGTAACAGATCCCTGCACAGAATTTTGATTCTCAACCACCCCTTTAGGGATGTTTTCATAGTCTGAATAGCCCTGAGCAAATTATCACTATCAAACTTACAGCAGCCTTTCCATGCACAGTTTCTCATTCCATGTGCATCTATACTAGCAAATTCCTTACCTGTTTTTCAGCAGTGGCACGGCTGCACCAATGTTACCGGAAGTGCAAGCTCTAGTGTAGACAGAATGTAGGTATTTTTATCACTGTATCATCTAACTCTGCTTACATGACAGTGGTAAAATGGCTGTGCCCAGCCTGGGCTAGTATTAGTAGACCTACAGAGGTGCTAATTCAATAGTAGATATCCCCAAAATTAGGAGCGGTGCCAGGGTTTTTGCCGCCCTAGGTGGCAGCGCTCCTCCTCAGAGCATTCGGCGGTGGGGGTCCTTCCGCTCCGCGTCTTCGGGGCGCTTCAGCGGCGGGTCCCGGAGCGAGTGAAGGACCTGCCACTGAAGCACCCCGAAGACGCAGAGCGGAAGGACCCCCGCCGCCGAATTGCCGCCGGGGACAGCAAAATGCCGCCCCCCAAATCCTGCCACCCTAGGCGACTGCCTAGGGTCGCCTACTGGAAGCGCTGGCCCTGCCCAAAATTGCCAGTGTATACACAGCTAGGGACACTCCTGAGCCAGGCAGATATGAAATGTGGGCTGCTTTTAAAGTGTCATGTTATAGTTCCATGCCCCAGTTTGACTACTTGTTCCATTACAGGAAAACAAACCACCACCTGTATGGCCTGCACATAGGCCACGTGGGCTTTGTGTCTGTGGATCAAGCACAGCTTTGTTTGTATAGGAAACATGGTTTGGAGGCAGCTCTTTAACTGAGGCTTGAAATGAGTGATTTTTTTTTTAATCAAAAATCAATTTTCACAGTTTGTGCCAGCTACTTCCGGGAGCGGCACGGGGTCAGGGCAGGCAGGGAGCCTGCCTTAGCCCTGCTGCGCCGCCGGACTTTTAGCGGCCCAAAATCTCTCGGTTTGGCTTCCGTAGTCTCCGGAAGATAGAGCCCAATTCCGGGAGACTCCCAGCAAAACCGGGAGGGTTGGCAACCCTACTACTTGAGGGCACTTTCAACAGAACACATGTTCTAGTTACACAGCTCACTACAGAATCTTCATTCAAATAAAGGGAATGGTAGGCTATAGTAGGTCCACCGAGCCTCATCAGAAGAGCCTCTCTTACAAAATGTCTACTCCTAGCTAATTAGTTGTTTGTTGCCCGTAATGGCTCAGAACACAGAAACGCTTACTTCAGGATTCTTTAATACATAGTTCATTAACACAATATTATTTAGAGGAACTTCTTGAAGATCTTCTGGTTACACCACTTATGGCTACAATACGCTATAATGGTTTGTTATGTGGGTGGTGCGTGCACATGCACAATAACATTTAATTAAAATAATGTTTTTTTGGGGGGGTACAATATTTAATGCATAGATGAAACTGACATATCAGGCTTTCTGCACACCTAATTCTCACCATGACAAAAGCAGTTATTCTGTACTGGAAGAGAAACCCATTCAAACATGAGACACTTAAACATTCAAAGCAGTTTCTTCAGTTGTGGGAGAGCAAAGGGGGAAAGCATTTGAAACTGCCAAATAAATTTATTTCCCACTTATTGTTTTTAAACCAAGTTTCTCTGAAATCAACTTTGTCATTTTAAAATTTAAGTCCAGAGATGATCTTTTGTGCAGCAAGTTTCAACCCAGAGAAATTTTTTATAGCTGAATTATAAACCCCTGGCTACAGGAATTTATAATGGAAATGCCAATTGACCTTAACAGTAGCTGTTAACAGGCACAGATGACCCACAAAAGGAAAGATTACAAAACCACACAACAAGGATATATAAAATGTATAGGTCAATCTATAGAATTAATTCTTTAAAGCCAGTGATAAGATTCTGAACTTTAAGTTGACCTGTATTATATTACTTCCCTCTATTACTACTGCTGTAGCTCATTACTGTTAGCAATGCTGCAGTTGATAATATTCAAGTTGGACAGCAGTTCATGAGTATATGTTTTAAAACCTATTCTAATGTTCCATTAACCTCTCAGGACAATATTTTATATGATCCATTACCATTACCCCCCCCCCCAACGCAGTGTTTTTTTATATATATATATATAGGGGTGTGGGTGTATATATATTCTAAGCAAGAATCCTTGACATTCTTAAAGTAATAAATCTCAAATTCATATTCTGCAATGCATTACCAACCCACAACTATTTTAATCAGTGTGCTTTAGTTGTGTATGTGTTCAGGTGCATTGCTGGACTAGGGCCATAGGACTGGCAGTATTGAATATCAGCACTTACAAAAAAAATATAGTGCTAACAAACTACAAATCCAGGCAATCAGGGAGGCATTATGGTCAGGAGACCTGTTCTGTTCCTAGCGGATAGGAGACCTGTTCTATTCCCAGTCCCACTGACCTGCTGTGTGACTTTGAGCAAGTGGCTTCATTTCTCTGTACCTCTGTTTCCCCTCCCACTCTTGTCTGTCTTGTCTGTTTGGATTGTGAGATGGTCAGGCAGGGATTGTCTCATGCTCATGTGTTTGAACAGTGTCTAGCATGATGGAGTCTCAGGTGGTGCATCGATCGGGTCACTATTGCAATAGAAATAAATAGTATTACTAATGGGAGGAAGGAAGACTGACCAAACTGGCTATGCAGGCATATTTAGGGGTTCTGTAAGCATTTTTTAAAATAGTGAGCTGAAAAGCTACTGGAGGACAATCATATGTCAGCCTATATATCTGGCAGGGGTGAAACACTGTTACTAAATATTAACTATAGTTGTGCACATACAAGCTGTACTGAGAACAAGACATGCCAATAACTTGTTAAAAATGGAATGTGGATAGAAACTACTATTCTTCCCTTTCTCCCACTCCTTGAAATTTGGAAAGCGGATGAGTTGATTTAATTTACAAAGGTCAGATCCAGTATGGCTACTCCGGTATTCAAAACTAAAAATGGAAAATAACTTTTATTTTAGCTACAAAACAATTCTCATGATGGTTGTTCTTTGGCAATATTACACCAGGATATTTCCCTATTTTTTGTAAGCCATAATTACACTATGACTCTCCCTACAACATAACATAACAACATTGCAGGTAGTTTCTAAAGGTGTCTTCTATATGGCTCTGTACCTGTCAGCCCTGGAAAGGCCTGGAATAAATACGTTTGGCGATAAATGTTTTCATTGATACCTTTTAAGTCCATTGGAGTGAGCTGGACACAGAGCACAGTCTGGATGGATAAAGAGGAAAAATAGCAAATATGTTGCTTAAATGAGTATATTCTCTTTTCAATAGCTGGCATTTATAAATTTAGAACCACTCAGAATATACAAGGGAAAAGTGTTGATAAATCAGAAATAATAAAATGTCTGAATAGAATGTATTAAGTATCATACCCAATGTCAATTAAAACAATTTTTGTTAACATTATTTCACTTGATAGGGTTCAGAGAAAATGACTGTGTTCACAGAGTGTGATTTGGAGGGAAGATTAGCAGTACAGTGCTTTTATCTCCATCCAGGCTTCGACTATGCTTACGTTAGTAGCATACAGTAGAAAACTGTGTGTGTGTGTGTGTGTGAGAGAGAGAGAGAGAGAGAGAGTGTTTCCTAGTGTGCTTATGACATCCTCAGTTTCCAATGCGGAGCTTAGTTAAAAGAGCATGTGTGAGCAACTCCCAATAGTTGGAGACCTCTGGCAAAGAGTGAGACAGAGGGAGGGAGCATTAGCAGTCTTGACTAAAGTAGTGAGTGCAGTGTTCTGGGCATGGAATGACGCACATATTGTGCTGGATCAGAAATGCGGAAGAATTAGAAGCCTCTAAGTGTCAACTAGTCTTGGTTTAAAGAGCAAAGCAGCACAGCTACGAAGCTGTTCTCTGTGTGGCGCTGGTAAGATATACATCGTTCTTTGACTTCTCTCTCTCTCTGCTCTCTCTCGCTCGTTTTCTTCCCTTTCTCCCTCCCATTTTCCTCCCCTCAAGGCTTACATAGCACAAGGCTTCTGACAGGGATCAAGGGGGAAACAATTTGGTTGGGCTTTACCGATTTTCTTTTTCTTTAATTTTTTTTTTAAAAATCCTTTTTTGTTTTACGTTTAGTGTGAAGCAAAAAGATTGTACTAGTCAGCGTTGAAATGCTAGTTCTTTTCTTGTCTCTCTCTCTCTCTGTGTGTGTAAATATATATATATATGAATACACACGCAATCTATGTATGTACATTTTTGAGTAAACAAGAGTAAAAGTCCGTTTCAGCTGGCCTGAAGATATGAGGCCTTGGAGAGACTATCTATTTCCACAACAGCACCAAGTTCCTGTTACATTACATGTTGCTCTCTGCTGATGGCAGTTGATAATTGGTAGCCACAGTCTGTGGTCTGAGCGCAGCTTTTTGTCTAGCACCTGGGCTGGGCCCTGCTGATATACAGTGGAGTGAGAGAGAGTCACACACAGACAGAAAATAAGCTAGCTGTAACTGTGCAACTCTGAGTGAGCGGCCTCAAGAGGATATTGCCTCACTGCATGGAACTTACCTGAGGCTGACTGGTGATGCTGTGTGTGCTGGGGGGTTCACAGAGAGGCTTGAATCCCTTTTCCAGAGGACACGATTATGTCCAGTGAACAGCGTAACAGTACAGCGTTGAAGGATGCTCAGTTAAAAGACCTGTTATTGGAAAAAGGTACTCCAGTTTTTGGTTGTATTTTTTAAATATTTATTTAATATATTTGCATGAATCAGATTATTGTAAATTTGATCTCTGACTTCTATCTGATCTGCCAAGTTACAATATTGCTGTATCAGAGCTACTCTTATAAGCAGAGGTGTATAAATAGAAGGAAGTCTATTATATATGCACACAGTTGTTTGTACAACTATCTCTTTAGGAAAATGGTCCAGGCATTTCTATCCACATGAATACAAATAAGCTAATGTATCCCCTCTTCTATTCTTAATTTATTCTCCTAGGAAGGTGTTTTCAATAAATACACAATTGCCTTTTTTGCTGCATATTTGTGAAGTAAAAAAAAAGATTCCCCTGGAAAAACTGTATTACTCCTTTATGCCTGTGTGTGGGTGGGTAGATATAATTTTTTCCATGCTCAATTTTTGAAGAAAAGCTTTACTAGGGGATGTGGGTGGTGGTGGTTAGGGTGAGGTGCCTCTCACGTTTGCCGTTAACTGGGGAGCCTGGGTGGGGTGTGTGGGGGTACGTGACTGTATGTTGGCATACATCAGAAACTGACTAATTGCCTTGAGTTGTGTCAATAAATGTAGACTACTTGTGTTATTGTCCTTTTTCTTCTGTTCTAATAACTAGCAGGGGGACAAATTGGGTACAGGAAAAGATTAAATATCTCCCGCCCCACCCTTTGAAAAGAAATTGCTACCCTTGAAAATCTAATGGAGTGTTTTCTTATGCTCTGTTTTTCATTTTTGCATCATAAAGCCAAATAAGGAAAGAGTTTGTATGTACATGCTGTAATAGAATATACTGTGGTTTTATTATATGTGACCATATTTTGATTGTATTTTTTTGTTTGTAAGTCTCTCAAATGATTCAGATCCTGAAACATTTATTCAGAGAAAGACGGTACTGCCCTTTCATAGAAATACTGGGCCCTCGATAAATTTGGAAGACTCAGCCCTTGGCAGATATAGAACTAACATGTCATTCCAGTGATCTCTACATTCTAGGAAAGTCTCTAAATCAACATTACTCATTTTGCATGTTGCCCTTTAGCAACAGTCTCACAGTTTCCACAGTAATGAAGTATTATATAGGCAAAAAAAAAAAAAAAAAGTTGTGGGTGTGGAGATGCTCAAATATCTAGCCTTTATATATTCTGTAGTATAGCAACTGTCTTCTGTGTCAAGTTTGTAACCTGCAATTGTGACCTAAGGCAAATTGACCTTATCCTAAAACACATAAGTAATTTCTGTGTTCCATGCTTTTAGATGTTTTAGCTATCAGTACAATGACCTGAGAAAAAACTGACAAACTGATTGTTGTATGTGGAGTTCTTAGCAGGAGTAATGGGAGGGTATAAAAGACTGAAGAATGAAAGTGTGTGTAGGAGTTGATTGTGTTTTTAATGAATGGTCTATACTTAACTGAAAAGAAAAAATAAATTAAAAATGTAATTGCATTGTTAAAGGAGCTTTTAATCTTGGAATAATTTCAGTTACACCTACTGTGATTAGCAATGAAATTAAGCTGCTAGACTTTTGTTTGTATGCTCTTGCTCATTGATAACTTCTGACAAGTAACAAAACCTTGTAGCACAGGCAGATATAGCAGGTATTACTACATGCTAGCACTGATAACCTGGTAGTATGCTTGCCTTTTTGCATTTCTTGAAGGTTTGTGATGGTTTTGTTTGGAAGAGATTTTAGAAGCTAAATAGCTTGGTTTGCTTTCACTTGCAATACAGGACATTTTGAAGAATACATATAGCAATCTTCCTTTCACTCAACTTTTAAAAATTACCCTGGAAAAGAAAAACATAAAAGGAAAAAAGTCCTCTTTTTCCCCCCAGTGCATTTAAATTTCTGCCTTTTAATGTTGTTAGCTTCTTTTTTGCCTGGCCAAGATTTTTAAAATCGGAAGCCTAAATTTAGGCTCTAAATCCATATTCAGGCATCTAATTAGGTGGTGTCATTTTTCAGAAGTGCCCTTTTCCCTTTTTACCTGTGTGGCAGCCAAAGATGTGCTCCCATAGACTAGACAATCTCTTTGAAGACTAGAGCATCCCTTGTGAGTGATGCACTGTTTCCATAGAAATGTAAGCAAATGCATAACTCCTAAGGGCAAATTCTTCCCTTAGTCACACCCATGCTCCTTCAATAAAGCCAGTGGGGTTGCATGGGTGTAAGTGAGGGAAGTTTTTGCCTCTAAATAACAAGTTTTTGGTGGTACGAGCTAGTCTTTTGCAGAAATGGCGGACTTTGTAATGTTTACATTGTAAATAGCATCATTTCCTCAATCGTATCTGTGCTGGCTTTCATTTTTAACCATGTTGGACTTTGCATTAGTTTGGGGTACCAGAACTCAGTAACTCAAGGTAAAATCCTACTGAAGACCAGGCAGTTTGTAGTTTTCATATGAGTTCTCAGATCGAGTTAAAGACTGGGCTTTCCCCATAGACTTTAACTCTTTCAATTATGTTCTATCAGCTGCAAATTGTTAGCATGGCTGAGATACTGGAAACAAAGTCTTGATTCTTCTCTCTGCAGTATCAGCTCTGATGCTGCTGGAGATCCCAGGATTGTCCTCACACTGTAGGGTGTTAATAAAATAGCTTTTCCCACTGGGATCACTATATTTTCCAAAGGACTGCGTCTTCTTCTAGAAGAATTACCTTTGTGGAGGCTGCATCATGAAGTCTCTTAACCTTTGATTTGCAGCTACCCAATGGCCTAAACTCTGTTAGTGCTTAAATGTGCTTTCTGCATTCTGGTTGGGATGCAGAGTTCTTGATAAAACTGATATTTTAATCCATTTTAAAATGGCCATCAATAAATAGCTTGAGACAGTTGTTGTGAGATACTGAATGTTTGCAGAATATTGTTGCAGAAAATGAATATTCTGTATCCAGGCTGATGGTTTTTCTCCCTTTCATTGTTTCAGCTGAACTGGAGTTTGTTCAGATAATCATTATAATCGTGGTGATAACTGTTATGGTGATAGTGATCATCTGCCTGTTGAACCATTACAAACTCTCAACACGCTCTTTCATCAACCGACAGAGCCAAAACAGGAGGCAGGAAGAAACTTTGCAGCCGGTAAGTCCAACCTCCTTCATCCCATCCTCCTCCTCCTCATTCATGCTGGTCTCTTTCAGAGCTTAAAAATACATGAAGTTCTGCTTATAGGCAGCCATGCGAAAAACTTCTGGCATCAGTTTTATTATTCTCTGTTAGTGAGTTAGTTTTTTGCCATTGTGTGTATTAATGAAAAAAAATCAGTGCCCGATTTTAGAGTTTCACTGCACAGCTGTTTTTAGGCACTGCTGTGTTTTATGTAGCAGCTTTTTCATGCTTCATATTTGTCTGGTGGTGTCAGAATGTGAAAGCCCTGATTACTGCTTCTACTGCAAGTTTTTAGTAAATTTTCACCTTACGGAAGGTGTTGCAGTGATGACCTGGGAAGATTTGTCATTTCCTGTTTATCCTTAGAATAGATGCAGCAGCGTTAGCTCCTTACCAGCTACCGGGGAGAATGTGAAAAGCCTGACATTTTTCTCTCAGCTAATTCCCTTCCACTCCCAGGCTTGTCTCTGCCATCTGGATGGGGGAAAGGCCTCAAACAAATGTCTTAAATCAGGAAAATGATATATCCCCCAATTGAGGAGAGTCCTGACATTGTTGGGGCCCAATAACTGAGAAATTGCCTTTTTGTGGTTCCTCTGGTCTCTCCCTTGTTCAGTTTAATGTCATTTTCAGAGTTGCAGCACATGCAGCTGTGGCATCGAGGGTCCTGAGATGTTGCAGGCAGGCAGTCCCTACTAATGCCCCTCATGTTTCCAGTGTCCATTAAAGGCAATGGCAAAACTCCCATTGACTTCAATGGGGCTAGAATTTTATGCCAGGAGTTTGACACTTAGACCAAAGGTCCTGCATGTAACCCCATGTCTCTCTTCTGTCTTCTAGAGCACCTCTAGTGGTGAAATGAGAGCTTGCTACCTGTGCCCATTGAGCTCTTACTCTTTGAGCTCAGGTTGGCAGTAAGAATGCCATTTATGATGATAGTTTTTGTGATAAAGACAGCATACCCCCTCAGGAACTGTGTTGAAAACACAACCTTATTTCACATGCCATTGAACATCCAATGTCCATCAGATGATGATGACTTTCAACCACTACTACATTGGGCTGGTTTCAAACCAGTGACTAGAGTTGTATCCAACTGACTGAGCCACCCAAGAACTTGCTTCTTTTTACATCTGTTTGTAACATGGTTATACAGTTGATCCAAAGGGGAAAAATTTGCATAAAGTCCCAGTTTTAGAGTGAAGTTAGAACTTATGGAAATGATGGATGAATTACACTAGTTAGGGTTAGACTCAGTGACAGCATTCTCACTCCCCACCAGTACCAGCCCCTGCTGCTCTGGTGATGGGCCTCTTCTGAGCAGAGAGAGACACTGTCTCAACATGTGTAGTGATTTTGTATTTGTAGGTGAATGGGGACTAAGCCTGACACTATCAAATGGGTGACCTAAGTCAGCATTGATCCACTGTTCCACCTGGTCCTCTCACTCATGGTATCATTTTAAAACAATGTAGTAAGGCCCTAGTAAATGCTTCTTTGGTAGGACAAATTGCATTCTTTGTTTTTTTGCAGATGTTTTGGGTTCTGAGGGGGCTATTTTATATCCTATAGCCTAGGCAAACAGATGCTATAAGCATCTCAAAATATATTCCCTGCCAACACACACATTATGATGTTAGTGTCATGAGAAGACAACGTAGTCCTGAAATATGGTAAACTTATTGTCCCTGGAGTTCTTCTTTGCAGACCATCTACATTCTGGTGGTATCTGGGGGATCTATTTGTTCTTGCACCTAAGAGAAGGAGAAGAGAAACTGTCTTATTGAGAGTACATGCTGTAAACATGTTCCCTCTCACAAGGTACCTCCGGAATATTGTATTCTAACTGGGTTAAAACAAAATCAGAGCTCTTAAAACTTTGCCCTCACATACTCCTTACTGTCTGGAGAAATCATTTAGACTAATTTGAGGATTTTTCTTAAATGGACACCGTGAACTTAAACTTTTTCAGACAGAAGTGTGATTGTTTACCTACAATTGCTACAAGTGCTGAAATAACTAGAGGAGGTTAAGAAATATTTTTTCTTTCCCCCCTTTTTTAATGCCGAGTGGTGTAAAATGTGTACAATAGTCCATTTCAAGATTTCCCTTTTATAGTCAATATCCCCTGTTGTTTGGGTGGGCCTTGCTCATAGGAACTATGGAGAGAAAAACATATTTTTGTAAATAAGAAAATGTAATTTGGCACTGGAGAGAGAGGAGCAGGTATCATGCCTGAAACAATTTTTAACTCATTTTTAAAATAATAACTAAATTTCTGATTGATGATACCCTTTTAAATAATGACAATCCTAGGCCAGTGGCTGGAAAGAGTCAAGAAACTTTCTGGGATGGGGTTGTCATCATTGTTCATTTGGGTTTCTATTCAGCCAAGAACTTTACTTCAAATGATTTTGCTATTTTTGTAGGGCCCAACAGGTGAAGCTACTTGGATGGTCCCTAACTAAGGCCTGATCCAAAGCTCACTGAGTCAACAGAAACACTCCCATTGACTTCAGTGGGCTTTGGATCAGATCCAAGTTTGATCCTGCAAACACTTGGGGTATGTCTACATTGCAATCTAAGCCCGGGATCCAAATTGAGGCTCAAGCCTAAACCCCCTTCCGTCTACACACAAATTGTGCTAACCCAGATCTCGGCCCCAAAGTCCAAGAACCCCATGGCGGTGGAGGGTCTGAGTCAAGCTGGGACCCAGGTTTCAAGCCCTGTTGCTTTGTAGTGTAGACACAGCCCCACTGGCTTCATGCTGTAGGAATCCGCCAAAAGTATCCCACAATCCCATGGGCCGACTTCCTTTGTTCTCTGGACAGTCAAGTTTTCCACACTGCACCACAAACAAAGGGCTAGAGCAGCCATATTTTGGAAGGGCACTAGGAAATCTGGGATATGGATGGTTGGACACAGGTCCACATAATGCAGTGTAAATGCTGGAGCCCCAGGTTGGGATCCAGAGTTTCAGTTCCTGACCTGGGGTTACAAATTAATGTAGATGCTCTAGCACTAGGTTAACAAACCCAGGGTCTGCTAACTTGAGTTCTACTAACCCTGGGCTTACATTGCAGTGTAGACGTATCCTTAGGCACATGTCTATAAAACTGGAAAGAATTTCCAATAGAAACACTTATGTTAAAAACAATAAACATTCCCCTGCAATGTTCACAGTCCAGGCAGTGAAGGATTGTGCCAGTTCATGAAAACCAGAAAATGCACTATTGAGTGAGCTAACACTGAAAATGAGTAGTCTGTTTTCATTGTCTAAACTGAGTGAAATGCACAAGGTAAACAAACAGCTTCAATGATGAAAAGTAACAGAAGTCACAAATTTTTTGTATATAAGTTTTCAACCTGGCAGTGTCCCTTTAAGTATTTTTCAGGTCTTGTTCTCTTTTAATTGATGATGATAACTGGGTTCTCTGTCATGGGAGCAATGATTAAGGTGCGCAGACTGAGAACGGATTTAGAATACTTACTGACTACTAATTGCTAAGGAAGGTGCACATCACTCTGGCTCAGCCCTTTGCTGTTTCTGAGCAACAGTAACTAAAAAGAGTGTAGGTTCAGTATTTTCATAGAAGAATTATTTTTAAAAATAAAATTATGCAGTTGATCATTTCTCTGTTTCAATGAACTTCGTCCAATTTCTGCTGTTGCTTCCTTACATCCAGGCAATCCTATTAACTTCATTGAGATTGCACAGATGTAACTGCGGGCAGAATCATAGCCCCTTTTGTTTTAATTTGAATTCTATACACTGGACAGCTCTGATGGTATTTTCATATGAGTTCATATTTGCATAAGTCTTAGATTTGCTCCTTTTATCACAACCAGTCCTGGTGCTGCTAATGTCTGAACTGTAGCAAGATCACACAGGTTCTGATGCCACAAAGACTAGAAACCCAGATAGCTCATGTTTTTTATTCAGGTCTTTCCAAAAAAAAAAAAAAAACACTATTGAAATTAATAGATTAAAACTCTTCTTTCTATTATTGCCAGCCTCAAGTGTTTAAAAATCACGAGATTGGCTTAAAAGTCATTGGATCTTTTTTTTAAAAATACATTTTGCGTTATTTTTGTTTGCCTTCTGATTTTGAAGTCTTTACAGAAAGAATGCACTTGCTTCACGTTTTCAAGATTTCCTTTGCAAACTTGAGGGCCAGAAACTTACTTATTTTTTTTAATTGGAATTCTCATACAATCTCTTGATTCATGCAGTTGGGCATTAAAAATTACACCAAATATCACAAGATTTGCAATAAGATCACAAGAGTTGTCAAAACTGACATCCCAGCTTTTCAAAGGACAAAAAGGGACTAGTCCTGAAAAATGTCAGTGGCTCTTTAAAAAAAAGTGCCGATAACTGACTGTCTCAGTGTTCAGGTTGAAATGCGCTTTCCTGTGTACCTATCAATTCTCTGCTTTCTTTTCTTTTGTCTTACTCTTCTCCAGCCTTTCCTCTACTCTCCTTAATGTTTAAATTGTCTTGATTTAATGTGCTGAAAACATCACGTGTCTAAATCAGACCCACAGATACATGATTTTTCCGTAGCAGTTTTGCTTCAGGCAGATGTTTAAGGTTCTACTGCATAACCAATCCTGCTATCTGCCAGGGTGGCTTAAAAACACTATTCTTCAGTGTAGATGGAACCTAACCATGACTTCAAATCATAATGAAGTAACCCAAACTTGCATATGATTTTAGGGACAGAGTTAGGTCTCACCTATGCTGCAGGGTTATACTGTGTTAAGGGACAGCCATGTTGTAAATGGGCTCCCTGATATGTTTGGATTTGTATTGTACAGGTGACCTAAAATGGCAAGGTAGTACTTAATTGTACAGACATTATGATTAACAAAATATTAAATGTTTCCCCCTGCTGGTCAACCAATAGTGGGATAAGCAGTGCTTGGATACAAAATCAAAGGTGAGTGGGAAGGCAAATGTTATATAGTAT